TTATGATTTTTGTGTGAAAGCCATGGTTTGACTAGTGATGGTATAAGCATTCAGCAAATAGAGTAACTTTTCCCAGGCAAGCCGAGAATACCTTTAACATCATACAATGTTTTAATTTCGACCATGGCTTGTATTCAATATTTCTCGTAGTAATACATATATTTATTTAAAATCAATTATCTGAATTGCCGCTGGTTGTTAATTTGTGGCCTACAGCCAACATCGTTGTGTATTTCTGATGAGATTGCTGTATATAGTGTTTTTTTCACCAGTTAAACACTCTTTGACGATTGTATTAGTTTCCAATATTCTCTCAGAATCAAACTTAACAATGTTGGATTGTTTGTAACTGGTTTCATTACAGAAATTTTTGTTGGAGTTAGATTTTTAATTAAAATCATGTCAGCAATTAAAAAAATAAATGCATGCATTGCTAGCTTTCCCTGAAACTGTTAGTTGTTGTAATGTTGGCCTAGGATAACACACATATATATATATATACACACACAGCATTTACCCGATGTCGATCCGACATAGTATTTTTAAAGTTGGTCCGACATGTTCGGTCCATCATTGTGCCGATTTTCAAAACGATCTTGGCCCAGTGTCGATTTCTATCGTCGGCCCAATCAACCGTGGTCTATTTTCGGGATATTGGTAGTGTCTATGATTTTGGTAGTTTCGTTAGCAATAATACGTAACTAGTTGAGTCTTACTGACAAATTCTAGGTAAAAAGAAATCCAATATATGGGGCCTTGTCTAAAATAGACCAACGCTTACACGTTACACAACTTATAATATCATGGGTCTGTATGAAGCATTCATCTCGATCCAAGGGAAATAACTTTGACGACTTTCCCTACCATCTGAGTAGTTCTCCGTTTTTTGTGTATGTGTGTTTTTTTGTTTTTGCATTATTATAACTTAATAACAAACGGATTTTCCGTGTATTACATTAAACATTACGGTTAGAATCTTATGTAACTGACCCTGTAAGAACGCTATACAGCACATTGGCCTTTCATTTCTACATCGTGATATTCTATGAAATAGTTCGTATGGTCAGAAAAAAATAGCAGTTTACAATTCGATAATTTATAAAAAAAAAACGTCATTCAAAAACAGACTGTAACATTTCAGTAGTGTTTGAAAACCTTTCTCAGTGTTTTGTTTCCTAACGTATGTCTCATTTTCTACAATAGTTTTTGTAAACGATTCATACATAAGTGTAAGACATTTATATGTAATTATCTGTTAACACCGCACAATATATCACTGATATATATAGGGGCGTTGTCCCTGATATAACTGGTCTTTACAAGGTCAGCTTTCAGATACACCACGTGACAGTGATTCCTCTTTTCTATTCTCTTTGAACATAACTGTACTGAATAAGTACGGCAACTTATGGAAATCCTACTTCAGATGTTCGACACCATCGCGTATCCATATCCTCCAGCTCCACGTCCACAGTTCTGCATGTGCAATAGCAGAAATAAGAAATCTAACATTTTTTAGGCTGATGTCTAATTTATATATAGTTTGTTCTAATAAAATTGTTAAAATTTGCATCGAATAAATGATTTGATTTATTCTGGAAAATAATTGATAAATTCATCATTTCATACTTCATTTGAGGATTATCCATAAATTATTTATAGATCTCTGCCTGGCCACAGTTTAATCTAGATGTATTTGTGTATATAAGAAATAACCTCGTCTTAGAATATCCAAAATCGATTATTTATAAAAATTTGATTCAATTCTTATCGCAACTTACTGGCACTCAACAAGGACAAGGAAAAATATCAGGTGTGAAAATATGATAGTTGATATAAGGTCGAGTGATTGTCCCTAGTGAATTAAAAGGATAAACGATAGGTGTCGCTATACACAGCAGGTGCGCGCTTAGCAACCAATCAGTGAGGAGCTTGCTGGCCTCAATTAACTATCGGTGTGGACCGTACTTGTGTGCATTAGGGCCATTTAAAGTGTGATATTTCTGTACGTCGGACCCACCCGCTGGGAATGGATGTAACACCTGTGACCCTGCAGATGCTGAATCTTTAGTAACATCTCACGGTAAGTGTAAACGCACTCAACGTGTTAATTACTTGCCGCTTCCCAAACACATTGCAGTGATTTGTCACCAACTTATCTCCCCTGTGTATTCATGGGTCTGTGAAAAGTTTCACGACGTCAAGCTACAGTGGATTAATTTGTGAGCTAGGATTTTAAGTTTGACTGGCTGCTATTTTATTTGCCTAATGGTTCTTTCATTGACCAGATACTTTACCACCGTGATAGTTGAAAAAAGTTACACACAAATAGTTAGGCTTTATACAATACACGATTTGTGTACATATGTACAGTATGCATTTGTACAAATGTATAACAAAATATCATTAAAGATACTACCTGGCTGTCGTCAAAGGTTACTTAATTAATATGAATATATAAAGAAACTACATGGAGAAGCTGTCATACAAACAAGAGGGAGTTGTATAAACACGTGTATTTCTGGTCTATACACAAGACCGTTAATCAGCATCGCGTTGTATTGTAACTTTTTTGTGTTCATGAGTTGAACACAGCATTTGACAGCTAGAAGAAACATTCTATCGTTTTAATAAGATGGTAAAAATAGAAATAAAAAAAATCACTGTCAGGTAGACCTGATAAAGCATATTAATTTCTTTTAGATTTTTATTAGTATCACTTTAAAAGAAACTTGATGTCTTTGCAAACCAAAGTTTTGTACTATTTGTACAAGATTTAGCGTTTTCCTTGTAATCAATACCTTTTTTTTTACTGTAAGCACAATATGTTTTGTTAAAACCATTGACTTTTCCCTCTTTACAACAAAATTTTTAGTGCCTTTTTATACTGTGGATATGAGCAGAACATCACCTGTGACTCGGTGTTTGAAACAGCCCTGTAGGACATCTCTTCTGAAACTGCAATGTATGTGGGTGGGCTTATTACCAGAAATGGGCTTATTATATAAACTTTCAATGTAAATCAATGGTTCTTATCTGAAACCTTTTAAAAGTTGATGTACTGCTTTCCCTTGCCAGAAAATACAAAATTGAGCTAATTAATCTGTTATCCTAATGCTGAGCTCTTACAGGAGGGTCAAGATATCTCTGTCCAAAGTTTGATTGTTTCCTCACACATACAAATAAAATCATAATGTATTGTTGTTATGAACTTTAAACATTGGGCCATCATCAATGGCAAAGTGAGTCAAAAATTGATGAAGTCTAACTGAGACATGGTTCAGCTTCATGATGATTTGACAGGACCGTGGTTAGTATGATAGGGCATACTGCTGTCTTTTCTGTTTCCTGTACACCGGTGGATATCTAGATTGTTATTGTATCGTAACAAAAAAAAACCAGACCACCCTGTAAAGTATCAAGTTTGCTAAAAACTTCAAAATATTATTTTTGAGTTATGGCTATTGAAGCATAAATCGTGATAAACTGAAGTTTCCTGTGTAAAATTTGTTATGGATTTTGTAGTGTAAACAATCAAGGTAAAATGACCCGATATACACTAACATTTTATTTCACATTTTCAATTTTAGTCGCATATTGATTTCTGGGGAAGTTAATGGTTGTAGCAGACTTCGCCATGGAAACGCTGTAACTGATGGTGTCATTTTGATTTGTTCTCGAGACTGTTTTAAAATATGGATGACATTGTATTGTTAGAAGCCATCACATTCCGGGAAAATAGACCATGGATGTTTCAGAAAAAAAGGAAACAAGTAACAGAAATATTTACTTTGTCCTTTAACATTCAGTTCAGTTTGTAGTGCAATTCATTACATGATGTCTCTATATTGATTTTTTTCCCTTTGAAATTGTGTGATTTTTCTCTCTGGAGAAAGGGTTGTTTCATTTCCACCAAAGGTTTCATTTGTGTAAATGAAAATTCGTATCATCATTTTTTCTGAAAAACAAGATAAGGACTTATTGACAACATGCTGTCATTGATAATTGAAATATGACACAAAGTCTGGTAACTTTGTGGGAAGTCATTCCATGTTGAAGAATGCTGTCAGATTTTGTAAGTGTCATACTTCAGGGAATGTTTTACATATTATAACACAGGTTCATTTGATCGTCATTTTGTCCTGTATATTTGTTTTGGTTAAATTTTTACGATGTCTACTTAAATTAAAAAAAAAAGAAAAACATTTTTTTTGTAATATAAAGTCTATACAGATATTAAGCTGCTGACTAAAACAAGATACTAATTTAAAAAGATAATAATTTAAAGGAGATGATAATTCCAGAAATTATTTATTTTATAAAATTGATAATATTAAAATGTGGTAGAAACCTTTGTCATGTATATCAGCATTATATATACTTTTTATAACGTTGCGAAATAAACACTTTCTAAACTCACACAAGGAATAGCACTATAGTCTGTACTTAGGACATCCTGTATGCATTAGTTTCTTCTCCTTTTAAATCAGTTAAAAATTGGCTGCATATTATTATGAAAGATGTGAGGAGGGAATTAACACCCTCCTAAGGACATCTATACTTGTGCCCAATCCCAATGTATATATTGATACAATAAAATATGTTTAAATCAAGGACATCTATATTTGTGCCCAATCCAAATGTATATATTGATACAATAAAATATGTTTAAATCAAGGACATCTATATTACGTTCTGTTCTGGGGTTGGTAGGGTTGGTCAACTTCTGGTAGTGTCTATCACTATCTATAAAGTACACTATTATCATCGTGTATTTATAGTGATTTTCAATATTCTCACAGAAATTAATTAACTGAACTTCAGAAAGGAAAAATTGTCATTTATAGATGAAAGATATAAACCGATTATATTTCTGTATAAAAAGATTAATGAAGAATAAAATGAAAAGTTTCAGTATTTTATTGGAATTCTTATTTTTTCAGATGTGAGGGGACTTTGTGCTTCTCTGAAATTTTGAAGGATACACCAAAACACCTGAAATGGCTGATGAGTTTGATGCAGCAGGGTGGGCACAGATCCATCATGCTGCTCAGCGAGGCTTCACCAAGTCTATCACCTTCTTCCTGTCAGATGATGCAAGTCTACTGGAGCTGGAAACCACGGATGAGCTTCACCTCACTCCGTTCCTCTGTGCTGTGGATGGAGGCAAAGAAGACTCCATCAAACTTTTGATGGAACAGGGGGCCAATGTTGAGGCTTTGAGTTCCTTAAACCATGGCGCAGTGGAAATCTGTGCCAACAAGTTCTACATTGACCTCCTCACATATTTCATGGACCTCGATGACCCACGAATACCTGTGTGGAAACATCTGTTGCGATATGTGTCATCAGAGGCAGACGAGGAGGCAGAGGCAGCTGGGAAATGTCTGAGGACCATGACACAGGGAAGTGAGGAAAGTGGTTTAAATCCAAACTGGGAACATCTGTACAAACATGGAGGGGTACCTGTTATCGTCAAGGTAGCCAAGGGAAGCAGTATAGCTGATGAGGCAAAGATCCCAGCATTTCAGACACTACTAAACGTTATTGAGAAACATGAAGTGAAGGAACAAGTGATAAGCTCGGGGGGTATTCCTACCTTCATCAAATTACTGAAATCCCCTTGTAATCATGTCATTCAACTTTCTGCTGAAATTCTTAAAGAAATGGCAACTGAGAAAGAATATGCTGATGTTGAATCACAGAATAATGCCATTCAGACACTGGTGAAAGTGATGCAGACAGTTCGTGACGAGGAGGTACTTGTCCAGGTACTTGAATGTCTTGGAAACATCGCAGAGGCCAATACAAAATTAAAATCTCAGGTTGGAACTTGTCCTGGATGTATTCCTACTATTGTGGGATTATTTGAGAACCAAAAAGACAAAAACCTTCTTCACTCGCTTGCTCGAGTGGTAGGTAAAATAGCTGATAAGGATGAAGTGAATCAGAACAGCTTTATTGAAAATGGTGTCACGCCTCATATCGTGGTTCTCACAGCAACACGCAATCGTGATATTCAAGTGTCTGCTGTGGAGGCCATCAGTAAAGTGGCTGATAACAATAAAAAGACACAAAAAGCCATTCTAGCTGACAATGTACAGGAACATTTACTGCGCCTGCTAAAGAATACAAGGGCAAAAATAGTGTTAGAAAAAACAGCGCTGGCCCTGTGGTCACTGGCTGGTTCTGACTTCGACATAAGACGTTACATGGCGGAACGAATGGAGGTTAATCTGATGATCGAGTTTGTGAACTCTATGTCAGAAAATTTACAGTACATTGGGGCAGAGGGTTTAAGTGTCTTAGCTCAAGGTCCTCTTACTTACCAGTCTGAAATTGCACGGCTGAATGGTATTGCTCCTCTGGGCAGGCTAATCCAGAGCAACCAGGAATACATTATCCTGAGTGTTGTACGGTCTATACGTCACCTTTGTGTGGGTGTGGCTTATGTCCCTCACAGACCCAATCAAAATACCATACTGCAGTTCCGTGGCATAAAGTACCTCGTAGCCCTGATGGTACACTCGGAGAATGAGAATATTCAGGTCGAGTCAGCTCTCACTCTGGGCTGTGTATCCATGTGTAAGTATCTGTGCTTTTGATGTCTCAGAGATTTAACAGCATAGTTAAGAAGAAGCTTGCTTAGGTATAAAATGTCAAGTACTTATTCAAATGTGAATATGCATTCATAAAATTGAACTTAAGGACAGAAGTCAGGATACTAACATTTGTTGTTGCTGTGAATATTTAAAGAAGTATCATTTCAATGTTTCTTTTATTTTTTCTGTCTGTCTTCATATTCTCAAATTGATGGACAAGGGATATAAGTTTGAAACACAATAAAAAGAAGGCAGTAGGTTAATCTGATGAAGGACCTAGAATGATAGTCCTGATATTAACCATCTTTATACAGGAGGGTGATGATACATCTTTATACAGGAGGGTGATGGTACATCTTTATACAGGAGGGTGATGGTACATCTTTATACAGGGGGGTGATGGGGGGGTGATGGTACAGGGGGGTGATCTTTATACAGGGGGGGGGTGATGGTACCATCTTTATACAGGTCCATCTTTATACAGGGGGGTGATGGTACATCTTTATACAGGGGGGTGATGGTACCAACCATCTTTATACAGGGGGGTGATGGTACATCTTTATACAGGGGGGTGATGGTACATCTTTATACAGGGGGGTGATGGTACATCTTTATACAGGGGGGTGATGGTACATCTTTATACAGGGGGTTGATGGTACATATTTATACAGGAGGTTGATGGTACATCTTTATACAGGGGGGTGATGGTGACATCTTTATACACATCTTTTATACAGGGGGGTGATGGTACATCTTTATACAGGGGGGTGATGGTACATCTTTATACAGGGGGGTGATGGTACATCTTTATACAGGGGGGTGATGGTACATCTTTATACAGGGGGGTGATGGTACATCTTTATACAGGGGGGTGATGGCACCAACATCTTTATACAGGGGGGTGATGGTACATCTTTATACAGGAGGGTGATGATACATCTTTATACAGGGGGGTGATGGTACCAACCATCTTTATACAGGGGGGTGATGGTACATCTTTATACAGGGGGGTGATGGTACATCTTTATACAGGGGGGTGATGGTACATCTTTATACAGGGGGGTGATGGTACATCTTTATACAGGGGGGTGATGGTACATCTTTATACAGGGGGGTGATGGTACCAACCATCTTTATACAGGAGGGTGATGGTACATCTTTATACAGGGGGGTGATACAGGGGGGTGATGGTACCAGGGGGGTGACCATCTTTATACAGGGGGGTGGGGGGTGGTACAGGGGGGTGATGGTATCTTTATACAGGGGGGTGATGGTACCAACCATCTTTATACAGGGGGGTGATGATACATCTTTATACAGGAGGGTGATGGTACATCTTTATACAGGGGGGTGATGGTACATCTTTATACAGGGGGGTGATGGTACATCTTTATACAGGGGGGTGATGGTACCAACCATCTTTATACAGGGGGGTGATGGTACCAACCATCTTTATACAGGGGGGTGATGGTACCAACCATCTTTATACAGGGGGTTGATGGTACATCTTTATACAGGGGGGTGATGGTACCAACCATCTTTATACAGGAGGGTGATGGTACATCTTTATACAGGAGGGTGATGGTACATCTTTATACAGGAGGGTGATGGTACCCATGTTGACCGAGTGAAACAATCTTTATTTCAACTTACTTTTCTGTCTTTGTTCCAGGAAATACAAACAAAACACACTTTTATGCTATACCAACCATATATTTTTATTTTGCCATCCTATAGTGAACATATGTTTGTGAACAGTATTGCGTTTATTTCAATATCGTTTATGTGCTATAGACTTTAACTGTTAACAGATATAGAGACCTGGAATCAGGGTATTTTTTTGTTCGGTCTTGCTATTAACAATTGTAATCGTTCTAGCTGCTTCAGTGCAAAACTTATATTCCACAGACATGCCAACAATTGGTTACACCCTCAATACACAAAGGTACTGGAGAAATCATGATTAATTCTGACACTAATTATCTTTACTTATGTAGGGCAGCTGATTGGACATCTGAATTCAGGTACACAGATGGAATTGTTGACACGGTTCTGGTGATTGGGTATTAATATTCAATATATATGCAGGAGCTATGTAATAAAACTGGAAACTTTAAGGTTCTGTTATCATGAACTCTTCTACCCTGGTCCCGTACTGTCTATGTGTTTGTTTGCGTATTGGTTGAGATTTAACATGTTTCACTTTACAATGTTGTGTAAAAAGAAAAAGATTATGAAATCTGACATTGATCTAAAATCTGGAAGAAAAAAATAGGTACTCAAGTGATTTGAAGATGTATTGATTGTGCCCAAGTAATCCTTCTAAAGGTTTTTTTGCAAATTTGCTTTAGTTATTTTTTTGTAAGTTTTAAAGCATCATTATGCGTATTTTAGCTCAACATGGTTGTGGAGTACAAAATGTATTTAGAATTTCCATATTTCATGAGATTTAATATGAAACACGAGTTTTGTATTCAGTTAAATTTTCTCTCTACAGAATTTGATTTTGTACCCTGTATGGTTATGGATAGAGCTACCTATACATACTGTGTTGTAGTTGATACAACCACGGCAGACCTCTGACAATCACTTTCAGTAATTTGATTTTTATGTTTGTGTTTTGAACACTACGCTCTCCCCCACAGAGATTTAATAGCCAAGCTTCAGTGGAATGGTTATAATTATCTTTTGTTGTCTTTGATCCTGGTGTGTGTCATTGTTTACATTTTCTGTCTTTAGAAACCCACAGATACATATATAAATGAGAAGTTCAATGTTTTTTACTTTGTCATGTTTTACCTTTATAAGTGTGGACTAAGGACAAGTTGGTGTGACTGGCTGAGGTGGAGATGATCAGTACAATCTATATTGTTAATAAGTGTGTTAAGGAGCAATATCAAAATGTATGTAATTAAATTATCTAGAACTGTGACTTTATTAAAACTACATTGTTAAATAGTAGAAATGTTACTTGGCGAGAACCATTGTAATACAGAGGTAGATGACAACATCTATAAATAGAGAAAGATTTAAAACGCTTAATGTATGTATGGACTGATAAAGGGATGTAAACCTCAGTCTAGTTCTGTCTTAGTTACCTGACTTGTGACCCTAATAGTTCAGTCTTAGTTACCTGACTTTTGACCCTAATAGTTCTGTCTTAGTTACCTGACTTGTGACCCTAATAGTTCAGTCTTAGTTACCTGACTTGTGACCCTAATAGTTCTGTCTTAGTTACCTGACTTGTGACCCTAATAGTTCTGTCTTAGTTACCTGACTTGTGGTCCTAATAGTTCTGTCTTAGTTACCTGACTTGTGACCCTAATAGTTCTGTCTTAGTTACCTGACTTGTGGTCCTAATAGTTCTGTCTTAGTTACCTGACTTGTGGTCCTAATAGTTCTGTCTTAGTTACCTGACTTGTGGTCCTGATAGTTCATTCTTAGTTACCTGACTTGTGGCCTTAATAGTTCAGTCTTAGTTACCTGACTTGTGGCCTTAATAGTTCAGTCTTAGTTACCTGACTTGTGGTCCTAATAGTTCTGTCTTAGTTACCTGACTTGTGGTCCTAATAGTTCTGTCTTAGTTACCTGACTTGTGACCCTGATAGTTCAGTCTTAGTTACCTGACTTGTGGCCTTAATAGTTCAGTCTTAGTTACCTGACTTGTGACCTTAATAGTTCAGTCTTAGTTACCTGACTTGTGGCCTTAATAGTTCAGTCTTAGTTACCTGACTTGTGGCCTTAATAGTTCAGTCTTAGTTACCTGACTTGTGGTCCTAATAGTTCAGTCTTAGTTACCTGACTTGTGGCCTTAATAGTTCAGTCTTAGTTACCTGACTTGTGACCTTAATAGTTCAGTCTTAGTTACCTGACTTGTGGTCCTAATAGTTCAGTCTTAGTTACCTGACTTGTGGTCCTAATAGTTCAGTCTTAGTTACCTGACTTGTGGCCTTAATAGTTCAGTCTTAGTTACCTGACTTGTGACCCTAATAGTTCTGTCTTAGTTACCTGACTTGTGACCCTAATAGTTCTGTCTTAGTTACCTGACTTGTTACCCTAATAGTTCTGTCTTAGTTACCTGACTTGTGACCCTAATAGTTCAGTCTTAGTTACCTGACTTGTGGCATTAATAGTTCAGTCTTAGTTACCTGACTTGTGGCCTTAATAGTTCAGTCTTAGTTACCTGACTTGTGACCCTAATAGTTCAGTCTTAGTTACCTGACTTGTGGCCCTAATAGTTCAGTCTTAGTTACCTGACTTGTGACCCTAATAGTTCTGTCTTAGTTACCTGACTTGTGACCCTAATAGTTCAGTCTTAGTTACCTGACTTGTGACCCTAATAGTTCAGTCTTAGTTACCTGACTTGTGACCCTAATAGTTCAGTCTTAGTTACCTGACTTGTGACCTTAATAGTTCTGTCTTAGTTACCTGACTTGTGGCCCTAATAGTTCAGTCTTAGTTACCTGACTTGTGGCCTCAATAGTTCTGTCTTAGTTACCTAACTTGTGGCCTTAATAGTTCAGTCTTAGTTACCTGACTTGTGACCCTAATAGTTCAGTCTTAGTTACCTGACTTGTGGCCCTAATAGTTCTGTCTTAGTTACCTGACTTGTGACCCTAATAGTTCTGTCTTAGTTACCTGACTTGTGACCCTAATAGTTCAGTCTTAGTTACCTGACTTGTGACCCTAATAGTTCAGTCTTAGTTACCTGACTTGTGACCCTAATAGTTCAGTCTTAGTTACCTGACTTGTGACCTTAATAGTTCTGTCTTAGTTACCTGACTTGTGGCCCTAATAGTTCAGTCTTAGTTACCTGACTTGTGGCCTCAATAGTTCTGTCTTAGTTACCTAACTTGTGGCCTTAATAGTTCAGTCTTAGTTACCTGACTTGTGGCCCTAATATGGTGGGTGATGCTGAGGGAATAGAGGAGAGGATGTTTGCTGTAGATATTTGATAATATTGGATTTTGGGTGTTATATGAT